GCTTGAAAGAAACCAAGGTGCTGTAGGACTCCACATTTAACCCACTCAGGTGAGCTGCCTAAACAAGATATAAGGGGCTGTCAACCTTATATCATCAGGGGGATCTATTTAAAAAAGAACTTCGGGCAAAGCTTTTATTGATCCTTGCAGTGGGGTTAGCCCTGGATTGCAAGGTTTAACTGTTAGTTTTGGTCTAAGGAGGAAAATAACAAAGCGAAAGCGCTCCCTCCAGCCTCTCTCCTCTTACACTCCAACGATGGTATGTTCCTCAGTGTCCTCACGTCCTATTCACTGTGTACAGAACTTAATAACTCAGGGACCTTAGGCCGCTGCAGTGGAGGGGGAGCGAGGCTGGAAGGACCGCTCTAAGAGCAAACAAGCTCGTAGGATCAGGTGAGCATTACTTTGTTATTTTCCTCTCTAGACCAAAACTTAACCCTTGCAGTGAGGAGTAGCCCTATTAATGTAAGGGTTAATACAAAGTTTTGCCCGCAGTTTGGCTTTAAAAGTAAACGTACAGCAACGTTGAAAACAAATTCATACCTAACTAAACATGTTTCACATTGCAATAAAAAGTTACTGTAAGTCCCTGTTCACATCGGGGCGCTCTCACACTCAAAGCCAAGAGCCACAAAACTCTCAACACTAGAAATCCCATTCATTTCTATGGCCCCTGTTCACACCTGAGAGTTTTGTCCCAAGCTGTAAAACGCCGAACACTGGAGGAGGTACATGAGCTTCTTTCGGGGCAGATTACAGCACGTTTGGCCACATAGACTTCAATGCAAGTGCATACAATGCGCAACACAAGCGTCTGGCACATTTCTGTGCATGTTTGCGCGTATGTTTACTCAGTTACAGCAATGCATTTTGATCTGCTTAATAAGCGCACGATGGTATGTCCATCGTATGTCCTCGAGTATGAGGGACATACAGGTGAAACTCGAATAATTGGAATATCGTGCAAAGTTCATTTATTTCACTAATGCAACTTAAAAGGTGAAACTAATATATGAGATAGACTCATTACATGCAAAGCAAGATAGTTCAAGCCGTGATTTGTCATAATTGTGATGATAGATCTATATATCTATATATATAATACAAAATGTTAAAAGCTGTAAATCTCACTTTATCGCCAAAATATTTCTATGAACCACGGAGGACACAGGAGGGCAGTTGGGAGTCGTTTATTCACATAAAATAAAGAAGGAAAAATGGACAGAAATGTGAACTAGACGTGTGAAGTTGATTAAACAAATCCAAAAGACAGATTCAACTTTCAATCCCTAAATTTGATGTCGGAACATTTAGGGAGAGAGATGAAAATCCCTTTATGGAGCAGATGCTGCAGATGATCAGCGAGAGCTTCTGGAATTTATGCGCTGCAAGTCAAATCCTCCGTAAAGGCGATTTGCCCCTGTCGGTGTGGCGCACTTACTGGTTCACCTGCAAACAGAGAACGTGACCCAGTGATCAGCAGCCACTGCTCTGCAATAAACAGCCCGTAATCTGTGGATGAATTCCGGGTCTAATCAGGTCACGTGCAGATTAAACAAACTGCGAGGAATAAAAACTAGATTAAAATATTCGAGCCCAGTGCTGCAAGATTACCGGGACATTTTACCTCTTTAAATCCTAATTTATTTCAGAGGCAAGCTGAAGTTTACAAGAGTATGTCTGCCGTGATTATGGAAGCCTGTCACAACACCGCTGCTGCATTGTGATGTAGGTTAACTGTTCATAGTGATAGCAGGAATCACCATGCAAGCAGAGGTTTTAAGGGAAAACTCTGATTTCACTGCAGTAGAAGATACACAAGTCATTCTGCAACTAAAAAACAAATGTTATGCAAATAAAACACCAGTAAATGCAGTAATATTTTGGAGAAATAAATATTTAGTGCATTTTGAAAAGTTTCTAGATTAAGGATGGTTCTAACTTGAAATCACAAGATCCAATAGCAAAACTTTGATGATGCATCCCATGAGTAGTAGGTGGTCAAAAATACATCTTAAGTAACACTGGTGTTTAGAGGTGGGCAGCATACAATATACCCCCTATTACAGGGCTCAAAATTTCAGGTCCTGAGCTACTAGCCAGGCCTTCTAAGTTACTCGCCACCAGTTGCCCTTCATAACACAAACAAACACACACAGGGCACAACACGCACACAGCACAACACACATACAGCCACAGCACAACGTACAGGACATCACACATACACATTTCATCTGAAATACATTTTTAGTACATGTCTAATAATATGCGTGTGAGGGGGGGCGGTTGTTACTTTTTTTAAATATTTTTTTATTATTTTTTTTATTTTTATTGTCTTATTTATGTATTTACAGTTGGGGGGGCTTTGGGGAAATATTAGGGGTCCAAACAGACCGCTGACAATTCCCTTTTAAAATAGAAAAGAAATTGAGGACACCAAATCCTCAATTTCTATTTTCTACAGCCTCAGCACTCCCAATGAATGGGAGTCACTCATTACAGAGGCTTCCCATTCATTCAGACACTGATAGTAAAATATTTACTATCAATAGTTTCAGAATGGGGAGGAGCCTCTGTACTGAGTACTACTCCCCATTGAGGAAATCCAGAATGAACAGGCTGTAATGTAAATCACCGCCTGTTCATTCATAACTGGGGACACATAGCACTATGTGTCCCCAGTTATTTACAAACACTGGAGTGATCAGACGATCGCTCCAGTGTTTGTCCTTCTCACACGGAGGATCGGTAAATATCAATGATATTTACCCATCCCCCGCTCTGCCTCGCACAGAGCCGCTGTCATCCTGAAACTGACAGGATGACAGCGGCTCCGATCTCCTCGCCGCTCGGCCATCCTGACAGCTGCGAGCGCGGCTTCTCTCCCCCTCGGGGCGGCTTCTCTCCTGCTCGGCCATCCTGACAGCAGGCAGCGCTCCCTCCTGCGACCCCGTACGGACGGACGAGGGAGCGCTGTCATCATGTCGGAGAGGAGGAGAGAAGCCGCCCAAGGAGTGCCTGACTCAATGGCTTCATTTCTACTCGCCCCCACGCAATTTTCACTCGCAATTTGCGAGGGGGCGAGTGGAAATTTGGAGCCCTGCCCTATTACATGAAAGCTCACTCCCTGATCCCCTTAAAGTGACACTAAACTCAGGAGTCAAATCTTACAAATACATTCAAGTACCTCAACTATTAACAGAAATGTATCTTATTTGTGTATCGCTTGAGTCACTGCTCTCTGCAAGGAGATGATCGAGAAGTGAGCGAGCGACGGTATGTGTTCACTCACTTCCTGATCTATTGAGCCGACTTGTGACAGTTTCATTGTCACACGTGGGCTCCAACTCTGAGGATGAGTGATTTCCACTCACCTCATAATTCTCCTTTGGGCTGGGTAAACATGGTTAGAATGTTGTACGAATGTTCGTACAAAAAATCCCGGCAAAACATTTGTTATTGCTATCAGATACTTGACGTGTAATTTTATGATTCCATTTAAAAGCTGAATGTAGTTTTCTTAACAATACCGCATTCACTGTTAGAATTTTGTTGGTTCAAGAAAAAATTTCCATGCTGCCCCTTAATTTGCCCCAAATTGGGATAACACCTTTTTATATGTGTTACCTGTTCCCATTCACATAGCATAAGCTTGCAGTTTAAATTGCTTTGACTTGGATTAGGGTTTTAAGGGTTAAAGTGTATTCTACCTTCTGTTTCTTTGAAATGTTAGGAGGAGGGGTGAGGGGTCTAAGGTGGCCATAGTATGTTAATGAGGCGTATCAGATAGACAGAATATACAAATATCAATCCCAACTCTTTCTATAAGGACAGGCCAATGTGGAAGGGCTAAGAAAAACCTGGAATCGGCCATTTTGCCTGATTTAACAAAACATCTAAAAAGGTTAGACATTTCTTTAAAAGTTATTGTTCAATAGGCTGTGTGACTAGGAACACATAACGAACATATAGATGGGTTTTGGTAAATCTGACGGCAAAAGTGGAAATACGCTTTAATTTGCTTCTTTAAATGAAGAGCTCTCCACATGTCAGCCACGTTGATGTGCTAAAATCAGCGCTGCCTGAACAGAATTATGGAGGGGAGACATAAACAGAACTGACTGGTCGCCTATAACATAGGGAGCTGGCTAAGATGACCGGTCCTCTCCACAGGAAGTTGGTTTCTATGACAAAGCAGCAATGCACAGGAGGATAACAGACTGCAAGTACAAGCTGCAAAAAAAATAATAATCAAGATCTATGACAAAAGAGGTGAGTGTTGCACTATGCTAGATTTTGGTCTGTTGTTGGAGTTCGACCTTTAAAGTACAAAAGTAGGGATGTTCAGATACCAAGTATCGTACTTGGCACAAGTACAGATACTTTTCCAGCTCCAAGACTAGAATAGAGAAAAACTAAAAGTTAGGAGGCAGCTGCCATTGTTACGGAGCATTGGCTATGGGGCTCCTGAGATTTGTGCATCCCTGTTTTAATGTATGATTTGTTTTATATACAGTATATACTGTATATATTAGGGATGCACCAATACCATTTTTTCCAGTCCAAGTACAAGTACTGATACTTTTCAAATACTCACAGATACAAGTACAGATACATTTTTGTTTAGTGTCATGTGACAGTTTTTCTAAAACAATACAGGCTAATGATTTCAGGGCAGTGGTGGAGCGCCAGGACCCAGTCGTAGCTGCAACCCTAATAGTTCCCGTGATGATGCCAAGTATCAGCACTGGTATCTGAGCATCCCTATACAAAAGTATTGTGTAACAATGTATTATGTTATTTCAGATTTAAAGTGGAGGAAAGCTGAATGGACACAGCCTGAAAACAAAGTGCTAAGTTGATGGGCGCATCCGTGATAAAAATAATACAAAGCAGATTGCTGGTTTGGTAGTTCTGTAGAGTTAGACACACAAATAAATTTGCAAACATATTTTTATACATATGTCCACACACATGATAAAGAAGTATTGAGTGCTTACCATCTGTGAGGCCAGACAATATGCAAAGGCCTCTGGGAATCGGCACGTAAAGTTGAGGAGGATGGCTCTGACATCACAAGATTTACATTTTCTGAAGTATCTTCTCTCAGAGAAGTGGAAATTAATTCTGTGGATTGTGGGATCGGGTCTTGTTCTGATAAACTCAGTTTGGGCAGATGTGAAGGCTCTGTGGTGGACTTTTGCAGCTCATCTGATGATTTAAAGGAGGCTTCTGAGCTCTTTAAGGAGTAGGAGCGGTTCTGTTGTAAAAGCCTCTTGTGTTCGGGCAAGAACCTGCAAAGAGGGAAGCATAGTCAGTGACTGGACTGCAACAGCTCTGTCAGTCAACCTTGTCAGCGTAACCAAAAATAGTGGCTGGAACACATTTGATATATTTTTTATAATATGCTTATTTCCCATACAATACACTAGTGTAAGCAATATGCTTTAGGCAGAAATAGTGGCTTTGGCATTTTAACAGCACATCAAGGTCAGGTAGAGCTCAGGTATGCATCAGGAGGAAGAGCTGGGACTTCTAGAGATATAACTGCATATATTGCAAACAGTGTCAGACTCTTCCGAATCAAGCAAGCAAAAAGCATAGATCAGCTCATTGTTGCTAAGAAATATTTCCTTGATATTATCTAAAATGATGCTTCCACTGGTCAATCATGCCAAGGTGAAGTGTGTCAAAGTCCTGAGATATTGCTGTAAGCGTCCCTGCTTCCTTAACCTAACCAACAGGTGATCAAGTATGGAAAAAGTGATAAAACCAAAGACCTAGCTTATAGAGTTGCTATATCAAAACTTTTTTTTTTTTTAATGATTCAAATTGATTTGATAGTTTAGGTTAGCCCTAATTAAACATATTTTTGCTCAAACTAGAGTTCACTGTAAAGAGATTGTATTGTCAGATTGTGATGTTTGTGGTGACCCTAAGACCCATTAGTGGCAGATCTAAATCTTATTGGGCAGGAAGCAGCTTCATACTAGTTGATAACTTTTTTTTACTGCACACAGATTTGCAGAGGCACCCAAGGAAACTTGCATATCAAGTGTCATCAACAACCACACATCCCCATTGGGACTGTATTTAGACATCATGATGCCTTTTTGCACAAAGCTATTGTAATAAAAAAAACACTTTGAGAATGTGCTACTGGGGGCAATATTCTTTACAAAGCCATCCACAACTCTGCCCCGACTATATTATAATCCTGGTCTCAAAGAATCACCCTAACCGTCCCCTACGCTCTTCCAAACACCTCCTGCTTTCCAGCTCCCTCGTCAACTCTCTCCCATCCTCTGGAGCTCTTTACCCCAACCTGTCAGACTATCTCCCACTCTGACTGCCTTTAGGCGATCCCTAAAGACTCATCTCTTCAGGGAAGCCTATTCCACCTCAAACTAACCACTGAACTATCATGTTCTCAAACAATTCATCCCCACACAGCTACCTGCTCATGTATCACTTGCCCTTCCCTTTTAGATTGCAAGCCCTCACGTGCAGGCCCCTTCTTACCACCTTGTCTTTAATTATATTGTGATTGTAATGTCTTCCTTATATTGTAAAGCGCTGCACAAACTGTTGGCACTATATAAATCCTGTATAATAATAATAATATGCACAGATAGTTTTCAACTGTACAGACCACCAAACAATAAAGATGTATTTAAGGTGGACCTTTGTACTCAAAAATCAAATTCTACCAATGCATCCCTCCATCTATGATGATTAATAATAAAATAGACATGTCAGGTGTAAAATTATGTGATTGTGAAATACTTACACTTGCAGATCATTCACTTCCTGCTTGGAAAGTGCAAATTACTTTAGTTTGCCAAAGCAATGCACACTGGGATTGCCTTATCAGCAAAGCATTGGTGGGAAATCTCATCTGTAATCTCATGAGATCTCAGGGAAAAGCATTGTCCTCCCCTGAGATGATGAGCATGGTCACATGTCCTAGTCACATGTGCCAGAAATCAAGGAAGTAAATGGAGATCTAGTAATCTGCCCTTAGTAAACATGGCCACTGTCAGAAGATTGGGGAAGAAAAGAGAAATAAGGAATGCAAAGAATACAAAGCCGGCAATTATCTAGAAATTTGTGTTTGTAAATTGTCATTACTAAACATTTTTAAAGGTGTGTTTTTTGTTATTTTAAAGATATGAGTAAAGGTCCGCTTAAGCTGTAACATGAAAGGTTTAATGTTTGTCTTGCATTACTCTTGAAACATAACAGCGTACTCTCTGTGTGCACTTATTTTAAGGCCCTGCTGCTTATGACTGCTAGTCTTACCAGATAAGAGATTTGGTGATGTCACTATTGTGTTGCTCACTGTTCTCCTTGCTGGAGAGAATGTGGGATCTCCCTGCTTTTGCTTCATTAATTCTGTGGATCTATGACCTCCACCTCTCCTGATGCTTCTTTATAATCAGATTGTGAATCATCAAGAGCGAAGTTCTGACATGAGGAAGCAAAGCCCTGCTCCTCTTCCACAGAGAAACACAGTGCAGGGCATGGCACGGTAAGTTATTTTTGGGGAAAAGATCAGCTGCAGGGAGACTACAAGCAATACTGGTGACAAGTCCTTTGTTCTTTTTTGCCTTTTTGGGCACACCTTTTACACGGTAGGTCTTTAAATATCACCCATTGGCTTATGTGAAAAATGAAGGCAACAACACACATTACTATGCAGATGTCTGTCATGTAAATAGGCCCACAGGTACAAAATACTCCTGGAACCCTAATAGTCTTAATTCCATGTTCCATTAATTGTTATAGTGTTAGTCTGTTTATTTAGAACACCTCGTATCATCAAAAGAAAATTGCTTGTGAATCATAGTAGCTGCTACATCCAATCTGTGATCCATTTTTGTAGGGAAAGACTAGAATAAGAAAGAGTGGAAAGATACTGATGTCATTGTCAAATAAGGCAAACCACATTAAAGGCTCCACTCTGGCTCTGGTTTGTGTTACGGCAAATTAGGAAGGAGCGATTCAGTTCTATGGCACATTGTTTTAAAACCCCGCTGTTTCATTCCAGAATCCAAAAAAACAAAAACCTGGATGAAAAATGCGCATATAGATCACTTAGCTGTTGACAGAACAGAACTATTTAGATCTTTTCATTTCAGCAATGACATCATAAGTGCATACAGGATGTTAGACAGCATATTTTATTTCAGGTAAATGGTTGTTACATAATGCAAGCAGAATCTTCTTACACTTGAACACAAATTGTCTCATCTCAAAGGGGTTTCCTTGTGTTAGCTTGTATATTAGATCATGTACAACCAGTAAATCCATATACATTCTGGTACAGGAAATATTAAATGTGACACGCACATATTATGTTTTCTTACATCTAGCCTGCAATTGGAGTTTTAGCCCTCATTCACACGAGAAAAGGCCGGCACATACAGCTCAGTGCTGCGTTCACGGCCGTATCGGGCAGCTCCCAGGAAGGACAGCTGCTGCATGTGATTAGTACGCAGCCCCTGTCCTTCTCTATGGAAGTATGCGGCCATACGCCGCCCTACACTCACCCGCCCTGCATGTCCGTACTCGTACACCGACAGGATGGATCCTGACTGCGTCCGAGCCGGGACAGCCGCACCTGGGGTGAGTGTAGGGCGGTATATGGCTGCGTACTCCCATAGAGAAGGACAGGGGCTGCGTACTAATCACACGCAGCACCTGTCCTTCATGGGAGCTGCCCGATACGGCCATGCACAAAGTCACAGAAATAAATATGTATTTGTAAACAATGATTTTAAATTTATAGTAAAAACACATATCAACAATATCTGTGCTGAGGCTCAATAAAGGGGCAACAACAAGAAGGCCACACCTATATCATGCTCCTTTACCTGTATCCAGATTTCTCAGATTTCAATACAAACAATGCATACAGGACAAAATGCCAAACTCAGTTGGTTGTACAAATCACAGCAACCCTAATTCCCAAAGCATCTAGGGAAATCTAAAGACCTTTTTTATGTTCACTTTGTTGTACCTGATGAAGGAAACGGATGCGTTACGAAACGTTGCTACGCTTGGTGATGTAGCTTTACACGTGGAATTAAAATAGCTTTGCTTGGAAAACCTTAGGAGTGCTGGTGACTTACTGTTTATCTGATCCAGCAGTGCCATCCACTGTTATTTCAGCACCCCCACCCCCCACATTGGAAGTTGGGGCATTTTCGGTCAGGTGTGCAGTGGGATCCCCTACACGACTTTTTGTGTTAGGACCCACTCTTATCATGGCAGAATTCGAGAAACATGTAGTAACAGAATCGTACATGGAATACAAATGACAGGTATTGGAATAAGATGCATCTAAGCATACAGATAGAGCAGATAGAGGCAACATGAATGTATTTTTTCAAAGGCCAGTTCTACTCAAAACTGATATTTCATTGATTGCTGGGAATCACAGACTCTCTTCTCTCATCTCTTGGGGGATTTCCAATGGTCATACATCCCCAGGACAATTCATAATTATTTTTTTATTGGTATCGGTGCCAAAAATCTACACAGCACATTCACATCTGTCCCTACCCTTATGGAGATTGCAATCTTAAGTCCCTATCTCACACATAAATACAAGCACAGATTTACTAAAGTCGATTTAGACAGGAACCAATTAACCTTTTAACATGTATTTGGAGTGTGGGAGGAAACCCATACAAGCACTGGGAGAACATGCAAACTCCATGAAGATAGTGCTAATCACTAAGCCACTGTGCGGCCTTACCCTAAGGAATGATGAGCCCTGTAGCAAGTCACACCTTCAGAGTTTTATGGGAGTGAGCGGAGACATCTGGCTCAGGCCGCAGTAAAATTGCTACACTGGATTATCTGCATGATACACTATATGACCAACAACTTAAGGAAAACTGACCATCATACCTATATTAAATTAATGGACATTGTATTCTAAAAACATGGGCATTAATATGGATATGGCCCCTAATGGCTACTACAGCCCCCACTCTTTTTGGAAGGCTTTTCACAATATTTTATAGTTTGCCTGTAGAAATTTGAGGCGATTAAGCGGCAAGAACATATCTGAGGTCAGGTATGGATGTCGAACCAGAAGACCTGGCTCACAAGAGGTGTTCCAATGCATTCCACAGGTGAAGTTTTTGAAACCAAACTCATCAAATCATGTCTTTATGGAGCTGACTTTGTGCACAGGGACATAGTCATGCTAAAACCAAAAAGGGCCTTCCCCAAACTGTTACCACAAAGTTGGAAGTGCACATCAGTCTTCCAATACCCTTGT